CTACTTCGTGTCATTAGACCACAAGATCATTGACCGCTAACATATTATTAACCCAGAAAATAAACAATGAAATAAAATTAATTGGAAACCTTAACCAATCAATATTTTTGCGAATTTTCAAATCACATGGACACATGATTTGGGAAAATATTTCAAAATCATACATTATGATTGCTACGTTTTGTTGCCATTCAAATCGTTTTTGATCATACAATGATTTATTATATTAACGACACAAATATATTACCTATCATCATTAAAAAACAAAAGTTCATTAAAAGATTAAACCTACTCATGAATAAGGCCATCCAACTTGAATTGTATTGTGTTGAAAATAATGCGCCGCTATAATTGTTGTCCTCAATTCTAAAGGATGATGCCATGATTGGGACTGGATGGGGGTTGGTGAAACATCAAAGTAAAATTAATACTAATAATGAATTTGTTGTCTCATCGTAAATTTTCTTAGTTAGAGTACATTAAAACTCTACCTATCGAAAGAGACGGAACTAGTGTTGGTGAAACATCAAAGTAAAGCCAATACTAATAATGAATTTGTTGTCTGATCGTAAATTTTCTTAGTTAGAGTACACTAAAACTCCACCTACCGACAGAGACAGAGCTAGTGTGGGGCAGCTTATATATATATATATATATATATATATATATATATATATATATATATATATATATATATATATATATATATATATATATATATATATCATTAGATGTTATATCAAATAAATATTTATGTTTTAATTAATAATAGTTTGAGTAACTTAGTTGGTTAAAGTTTAATTTTATATGTTAAAAAAGCCTATGGTCATAGATTCAAATCTCATTAACAACATTTTATAAATCATTTAATTAACAAATTAAATATTCTTTTAGTCTACTTTTTATGAATCATTCAATTAATGTAATATACAAATTATTTTTATCTAATTTATTATGTTTCATATGTTGCCATAAATATTTTCACATTATCACCCCATCAAGGATATTTTTAGCTCCGACCCTAACTATCGTGTAATATATCAAAAACATTATATTGTAATTTATAATGTATTTTGTATTTTTAACCATATTATGATTGTTTGATATTTTGTAATTGACATTTTTAACGTTATTTAAACTTCGCCCCCACTCACAAAATTTTCTAGCTCTGTCCCTGCCTACCGAGACTAATCATATTCGAATTAGATTATAGAGTATATAAACAATTTGATTTCATTTATTTATTTATTTATTATCAAAAGATGAAAGGGAATTAAAAATACTTGAAACAAGTAAGATGACCTTAATTAGCTTCTCCATATTAGAATCGAACGAGACTAATAAACAAGGACAAAATTCATCATCCCGACTTGCATTTCATGTCTATTTTCTTGATCAAAAGATGAGGGTAAAACATCGAAACAAGCAAGAGGGCCTTAGTTGGTCCTTCACATATAATTTATGTAAGTTCCATTTTATTTTATTTTTTTATGGTGGGAATTTGTCAATTATTATTGAAGCAATAAGAAAATAATCATCCAAGTTAAATTGTATTGTCTAATCTGACCTAAAATTCGCAGTATTTAATGAAACTATCCCATTACCGGCTTATAGTCAACCATCCAATAATTATTAAAACCATAAAGTATGAATTTCTTACTTAATACATCATCAACCATATATTTCGTTTCAAGAGCATCCCAAAGATCATGCATTGACAAATTCAACATTCTAATACTTGTCAAACAAAGCATCTGTAATCCATTCAATATATGGTCCCCGACAAATTGCACTTATTTCCGTCTCAAGTTATTCCATAAAAGAAAAGTCAAATCGTGAAACCGTGAAATCAATCATTTTCTTGATGCACTAAATGCATGAGCCCAAACGGTGAAAGTGTGTAATCTTATTTAATATTCTCCCAAAAGATTAATTTCTCAATCCCAATGGTCCTTCTGGCCCTCACACTCTAATTCGATTGAGTATTTGGGATGATAAAATTAATATAATACGTGTAATCTTATTTAATTTTTTCTTTCAAAAGATTGAATCTACAATTTCAATGAGGCCTCCCATACTTCGGTCCGACGAAATATTTGAAAGGATGTAATCACGAAGACTTAATGACTCAGCAGATGGGGAAATCTTATTTAATCTAATTGTACCAAGCGTTGAGAGAAATGGCACTGTAAATAATAAATTAAAAGAAAATTAGATGAGTAGTGTACTTCGAGGTCCATTCAACATGAGCATGGGTTACGATAGGTTCTTGTTGAGGATGTTGTTATCAGCGAATTTATAGCTCTGTGGATCACGGTTCAAAACGATGTTGTTGAATTTTATGAGTTAGAATACTGTACATTATATTTTAAAATAATAAAATTTCTGTGATAAAATAATGTACATTATGTGTTAGAATAATGTACTTGATGTGTTTGAATAATGTACATTATGAGTTAGAATAATGAAACTTTTGGGGTAAAATAATTAAATTAAGTACATGTTAGAGTTCAACTTTTGTCAACATCTTTTTGGTCGAGTCTACGTACAAGATCTTTCAATTTATCTCTCTTATATGGTTTGCACGTTTATCCCGTACACACAATCAAATAGTGGCTACAAATTTCCCTCGTCACTCCAAACAAAAAAAAAAAAAAAAAGTTAAACCAAAAATGAGATTTGGATTACGGTGGTGGAAATATTAAATGCCATACCCAAAAAAAAATGATACACTAGTAAAATTATGTGATAATCCTTTTTTTATGTAAGATTATGTGTCTTATACTATTTGCCGCGTTTGTATTAGTTGGGAGAGCATAAAATAGACACATAATTTTTTTCTTTTTTTATGTCTAGAATTTGTTTTTTTTTTAAAGAAAAAACTAACCACACAAAAATAACTAAATTAGAGAGTAATAAAATTTGTGTGATTTTTATAGGGGTGGAAGCATTTCCATTTTTTAAACCTACATTAAATTTTATTATACTAAAATTTAATTGGTATGGGCATATTTGGAGATAGACAATCCCTATCCTTTTTTTAATCCCCTTGTAGATAAGGGACTGTTAAAAGAAACATTTAGGGAGGTAATTTTGTGTTATTGCTTTTCTAGCAAATGGGAGAAAAGAGAAGTTACATGTGTTTTTTTCTCATTTTTGTTGGTTATTTTTGTGATGGAGCATATCAAGAATATGTGGTGATAAAGCCCACAACTTATTGGGCTTGTGTTGATTCACTTCTCATTCTTAGGCCTTTTAATCAATTGTTAGGCAAATTATGCCCTGGCATTGTGGACACGGGCCCAAAACGACGTCGTTTTAAAAAAAAAAAACTCGTCATTTAGTTTTTAAAAAAAAAAAAAATCGCGCGCGATTTGCCGTTAACGGCGTTATTTTTTTTTTGGATTATGAATATACAGTTATGCCGTTATGAATGTACAGTTATGCAATTATGAAATTATGAGCACAGAGCTCTAACATTATGAACTTACAATTATGAACATATATAGTGATAAAATTATGACCATGGAGCTTTAAAATTGTGAATATAGAGCTTCGAAGATTATGAATGTACAGTTATGGAGTTATGAATGTACAGTTATAGAGTTATGAATCTACAGTTATGGAGTTATGAATCTACAGTTATGAGATTATGAATCTACAGTATGGAATTATGAATGTACAGTTATTGATCGAATAATGAATAAAGAGCTCTAACATTATGAACTTACAATTATGAACATATAGTGATAAAATTATGAACATAGAGCTCTAAAATTGTGAACATAGAGCTTCGAAAATTATGAATGTACAATTATGGAGTTATGAATGTACAGTTATGGAGTTATGAATGTATAGTTATGGAGTTATGAATGTACAGTTATAGAGTTATGAACGTACAGTTATGGAGTTATGAATGTACAGTTATTAACATATAGTAATAAAATTATGAACATATACTCCTATAACGAAGCGATCTGAAATTTAAAAAAAAAAAAAAAAAAAAAAAAAAAAAAAAAAAAAAAAAAGAGGTAACAGTGCCCGTGTCCAGCAAGCATGCTGGACACGGGTCCAACGCATAACGATTGCAATTGTTATGCCATGGACCTAGTGTGTAAGGTGGACCAAGATCCAAAACGATGTAATTTGTGTGTGTAAAAATAACAGTGTTGTTAGTGGTACCATTTTCTCAACTAATATTTTTTTTTAATTATTAAAATCAACTCAGCGAGTGAATATTCAATTCTGTAATTGTAAATATAGAGTTCTTTAATTGTGAATATAGAGTTCAAAAATTATGAATGTATAGTTATGCAATTGTGAATATAGAGTTGCTGGTATCTTAGCTTTCGTAATTTAATTGACATTAAAACTAAGGATCTGTGTTTTAAAAAAAAAAAAAAGTGTGCTTTAGATGAAACATATCTTGTGACTTTAGCTGGCAAAGAACTATAAGGAGATAAACTAACCTAAGTTCCTTTAGTTGAAACATATCTTGTGACTTTAGTCACATAAGGACTAAACAATGAGGTAAACTAACTTAAATTGACTTAAATTAGCCTAAGTTACTTATAGTTGACCAACTCAAATCAATAAAACTAATAGACAATTCCCATGGTGAGTTGTCTGACCAATTTTGATTGGAATTAACCCCACATTATCCTTTTTTTTTTTTTTTTGAATGCTACTGACTCTATTACAATGTAGTATCTGTTCATATACTTTATCAACCTACTACTGAAACACAAAGAGCCAATAACGCCTCCACTGAGGCTCAAACTCACAACCAGCCAATAACGCCTCCACCGAGGCTCAAACTCACAAGTCACAACCTTCCAAATGGAAGTCCAACCCGAATACCATTAAACCACATAGTCCTGGTATCCTTTCTTAATATATGACCGAGTAAATAAAACATAATTCTCGTACTAAAAGATCACAAAATTAATTTTTATTCACATCTTCTTGATTAAAATGATATGTAATACGGAGTAGTACTCACCCTTTTTTATTGAAAAATTATAAGTATACTGGTAGGAGTAAAAATGGGCGGTTGGGGCCACATATAACATATTTAGTTTTATTGTAAAAAGAAAAGAAAAGAAAAAGTAAAAATCAGAGTAAATTAAAATTAATTAAAATTACACATAATATTACTAAGAAAGTATAAGCTCATTGCCGGAGAGTTTCTCCATCTCTTCCTTGAAGGCCGGCATGGCTTCCTCCTGCACGTACACCAACACCTTAAACCCATCCTTCTTCCCTTCGCCGGCGGCGGAGTAGGGCAAAAAGTAGCACGGCGCCACCCCGCCGAGCAGGTGCCTGGTGAGGGGGAACACCGTGACGGGGCCGCCCCAGCCGAAGTCGACGGTGGCGTGGCCGATGTGGCGCCAGTCGGTGAAGCCGCTGACGCGGTTCCCCGGCGTGATGCCGTCCTGGAAGTGCAGCTCCTGGAAGTCGATGAAGGAGCGGACGTAGTCGTCGGTGGTGTTGAATTTGCTCTTGTTGATTAGCTCCGCCGTCTTCCACAGCGGCTGTCCGATGAGGTCTTTGGCGGCGAGCTGGACGTACATGGGGACGCAGCCGTTGCCCCAGTACCCAAACGGCAGCGCGGGTTTCACCTTTCTTCTTATGTTTGTTTGGTACGCAAATTTCACCGTTTCGTCTTCCGGGATCTTTGACGCCTTTACACTGCACGTGTTTCCAATCATGAATTATAATAAAAAATTAATTGCTTTTACTTTTCACCAACTACTTTACATAATTTTTTGGCATCTAAAACTTTAAAAAAGTGAAATTAAACCCTCATGTTATTTTTAGTTACATATACTATTGAGTATATTTTCTGTCATTGACCAAGAGAAATTTTACTGAAAAACATCACCATCAACCAAATAATAATCTCTCTAACGAAAGTGACCCAATTGATTATCTTCGATCTCCAGTAAAGGTGACTCAAACTGATCGCTTTTTCTGAAGAAAACGACCACAAGTGGTCGCCTTCCTCAGCAAAGGCGACCAAAAAAAATCCCCTTCTCCGAGACTTGTTGCCTTCTCCCGAAGAAGGCGACCAAAAAAGTTCGTCTTCTACCAGAGAAGGGGTCGATTTATATAGTTGACAATATAATATAAGAAAATAAGATAAAGTGAAATTAACATACTTAGTTGTCTTTACTTAGTTTTGTAATAAACTAATACGGAGTAACACTTTTAATATTTAAATTTTGTCCTTTATATTGCATATTATTTTTGCAATGAATTTCAAATTTTCAAAGTGACATTACAATTTACATCTCTACTATCTTAACTACGTGTACTTTATAATATTACTTTTTTATAATATCATGTTACTTTTTAAAATATAATCTTATTATTTAATCTTATCTGCATTAAACTAAAATTCAAAATGTACTTCTAGAGAATATGCCACACTAATGAAAAAAAATGCATAAATATAGAAATATGGAGAAAATCATTACCTTGCTCGCCATATGAATGCACCCAAAGCTTCAAAGGTAGTATATTTTGAGCCGGATTGTTCATGTAAAGCGGCTTTGAGCCGGTCCAACCACTCGTCCTTCATTTCAAAAAACTCCTGAGCCGCCGGTTTACCGGAGTGGGCGTACGGGACCGAGTCTTTATCCAAGCTCAAGAACTGATCAACCGGAAAATCAACCCGGGGCGGGTTCCTCGGTCCGAGCAAAGCCGCCCGGTTCCACGCCGGTTCAACCGTAAACTCCTCCCCGCGAGCCACCTCCGCCATGGCATTGAAGAAAAGCGTGGCGCCCATCCCGTCGCACATGGCGTGGTGCACGGCGGTGCCCATGACCCACCCGCCGCAAGCGAACCGGGTTATCTGCAGGGTAAACGGGTGGGTCAGCGCCTCGTCGATGGTCGGGCCGGGTACCAATTTCTCAACGAACTTCTCGTCCGGGTCGTCGAGGTAGTTAACGGCGCTCAACGCGCAATCAACTTTGGCACGCGCCACCCTCACGCCGCCGCCGGCCAGGCAATGAAGCTCGAGGCGGTTGTCGTGGGCACGGCGGCGGAGAGTCCCGGCGAACTGGTACCACCGCACGAGGGCGGCGGAGAGGGAGGAAACGACCACATCGAACGGGTCGGCATCCTTGGACTCGTTGTTGACGTAAACGCGGAGGTAACGGAAGATGACGTTGAGATTCCGGTCGGTGTCGAGGTGGGACAGAGGGAGGACGTGGTCGTCGGAGAACGGCGGAGTTGCGGGGTGAACCGTGACGGTTTCCTGGATGTGAACTTCCATGATTAATCCTTGCGATGAAGAACCGATTTCTCGCTTGTAGTGAGTGAATTAATCGCGATGAAGAACCGATTTCTCGCTTGTAGTGAGTGAATTAATCGATTTGATAAGATTTCCCTTGTTTTGAGAAGAGGATGTTAAGTCTTTCTTTAAAGAGAAGGATTTATCCAGTTTCGAGCCGCCATGGATGAAGAGTGGGTGGTAGTTGGGGCGGAGTTGGTGTTCTGGCCGCAATCATTGAAATATAATATTTATTATTTAACTCTTAACCTCAATTATAACGTTATTTTAATTTTGATTTATTATAATTTTTTGGGTAAACTAGAAAATTGAAGTGACTATCCAATGATATGTACGAGGTAAATTCCATCTTGTAATCCTAGTTAACAAAGAATCACAATGAGGTAACAAGCATATGTTGATCATAGTTGATCGGCTCAAACCAGCAATCTAACCGATTTATTATACTTTTAATTATCAATTTAAAGGGTGTTTTAATTACCACATGGACCAATTTAAAGGGTGTTTTAATTAACACATGGATTGATGTTTCTCCTTCGAGTTTAGCCTCCCTGCTCACAGCTGACGCCTTCGGGACAAGCGCCGTGCGGGTTTGGTAGTTGTCTTTCTCCCGTTCTTAACGGGTCTTAGTTCACCAAAAAAAAAATATTGTTTAAAATATCTGAAATGGCTTTAATTAGTTTATAAATTTTTAATAATATCTAATTTATATTATATGCCAACATATTTTGGACCAAATTGTTAGGATTCGAATTCTGAACTGTGTGACAGGTTGCAAAATAAAGTTTATAAACTTATTTTGGGTTGGTAGACTAATTGAGTTGTATGCAAGTGCATAAATTGCTATTATTTAATTTCACATGGGAGCAGAAATGAAGGCAAAATAGATTGTAGTGCAGCTGGTACATTGAATTTGTGTCATACTGTCATGGCAGGCTAATGTTGAATGAATGATTTTGGGTTGGTTATCGAAAGTTGCCACTTTATGACCTTAAAAAAATGTCTGCTTTTGGCTTCTTTTATTTTGAATGAATGTGGGGTAGTTTTTGGCTTTTTGCTTAGGAAGGTGGCTAGTCTGATACCCTCCATTTTGCCCCTACCTAACACGTGATTGGGCACAACATATCTAAATTTAGTTTTGGAGCAAATACCAATTTTGAATGAATGTGGGCTTGTTTTTGGCTTAATATCCTATGAACTCGCTAATTTAGTTTTGGAGCAAATACCAATTTTGATTTTATGAGTATTAGTAAAATGGACAATTTTGATTCACATGTAAAATTTTTACCAATTTTTATATACGTAATAAGCCTATTATTTTAGTGTCAAAGTTAAAAATGTATATTATTTGAACCAATTGCAATGATTATTATAATTTATGGATAATTTGATAAGGGCACATATAATCATTATACTGAGATTACCGACGATGGTTCATTGAAAGTTAACCATTAACATACATGTTTATTTTTAATATATTAAGAGTTTATTTTTAGTGTGTTGGTTTTAGAGTTTTTGGGTCCAGGGAGGTCCAACACAATCGTAGTGGGTAGATTCACCTTTCAAATAAAGCTACTAAAATAGAAGAAGTATGACTCAATGATTTTTACGTGGAAATCGAAAAGTGAAAACCACGGGCCTTTTCAGGCGGTGTCAAGTCTAAATTCACTATGTATTTTGTAGGTGTCTTTGTACATGTTGTAGAGCTATTGTCAGGGCCGGATTTTAAGCTGTGCAAGCTAGGCTACCGCACAGGGCCCCTTATTTTAGAGGGCCCCCAAATTTTAGAGGTTCAATATTTAATTTTTACCTAGCTAGTTTAGAAATAAAAATTAAAAGTTTTCAATTAAAAGTAAAAGGTTCCATGAAGAGATGGTAAGAATGTGTATGTATTGTATTTTAACTTAGAGGTCAAAGGTTCGAAACTTGCATGTATTGATTTTAAAAATTGTGATTTTGGTAGCAATCATTATTGTGTGGACCATAGTCTACACAAGTTCTGTGGACCATATTTTGTCTATTATAAAATAATGTACATTCAGTACAAAAATAATGTATATTGTATACAGGAGATATACATTATTTTTATTCTGAGTGTACATTATATTGTATAATGTACATTTAGTAGGGCCACCTTTATTTACCAGAACAGAGCCACAAAAACTTAAAATACGGCCCTGGCTATTGTGTACATGTTGTAGTGTAAGAATAAAGCTATATCTTCTTAGCTAGTGTGAAGTCTTCTAGTGTAGAGAAGAGTGATGGAGTCTTCTTTGTGTATTGTGGAGGGAGTAAGAGCTAGCCGTTGGGTGAGTCAATGGAGTAATTAGTATGTAATTAATAGGAGGGGGAGGGGGGGGGGGTGGGGGTTATGGATATTAAGTTGTGGGTTAGGATGAGGTAGTTGAATAGGCTTTAATAGGATAATTTAATGGGGGATAATGAGAGATTAATATGGGTTAATGGCTAGTTTAATTTGAGTTTATTAGGTGGGCCAATTTGGGCTAGGCGATCCAATTAGGCCCAAATATCGGGTAGTCATCATAGTGTATCCTATATTTATTTTTTGAAAAGTCACTTTTAGTTTATTGTATGTTCATTTTTAATGTATTGTCTAAAAATGAACATATAATACATTAAAAATAAACATTCAATATACACAAAATAAATATTTATCAATGATTTATCTTACAATATGAATTGTACATGTTCCATAGTATAAAGTGACATATAAACACTTAAATGCAAAATGATCTTCAATTCAAAAGGTTGAATCCCCAACCCAAAGGGCCCCACTCTCCCGCCCCCGACAGAGCATCTGGAGAATGTAACTTATGGTAACTAACCTGAACACAGAGGTTATACCTTTGTTTTACTGTGCACAAAAAGCCCCCCTCATTTGAAAGATTGCTCCACATTGCTGCTGATAAGATCCGATTCCGAATTATTGTTTTTAAACTTCACACATGTGACCAACTAAGTTGCATATACGAGGTTCTATAACTATTGGTATCTTTAATGAGTGAATCCCTTATTAGTTGAGAATTGTTGGAAATACACACCCAAGCCTACTAGGTGGGAACCTAGTGGGTCCAATAGTTATGCTGTGCAACTGAATGCACCATGCGCATGGTGCATACGATGCAAAACGACGTCGTTTTGACTAAAAACGCGCGTCTCACTTAAAAAAAAAAAATTCAGGTTTGATTCTCGGTAATAGTATTATTGTGAATATATAGTTATGAATTTCGGGATATATAGTTATGAATTTGTGGATATATAGTTATGAATTTATGGATATTTAGTTCATTCATTGTGGATATTTAGTTCATTCATTGTAGATATTTACTTCATTCATTCACTGTGGATATATAGTTATGAATTTCTGGATATATAGTTATGAATTTATGGATATTTAGTTCATTCATTGTGAATATTTAGTTCATTCATTGTAGATATTTACTTCATTCATTCACTGTGGATTTAGTTCATTCATTGTGGATTTTTACTTCATTCATTCACTGTGGATATCTAGTTATGAATTTATGGATATATAGTTATGAATTTATGGATATATAAAAATGCTATTGCCGGGAATCGAACCTGATTTCTTCTTTAAGTGGGACGCGCGTTTTTTAACCAAAACGACGTCGTTTTGCATCGAATGCACCATGCGCATGGTGCATTCGGTTGCACAGCATAATTTGCGTAGTGGGTCCTTGGTTGAAAAATAGTAGTCATGTTAGGCCTATAGCAAATATTCGAGGTTCATGCCCAGGTAAAAAGTCAACAATCATTATTCTATGGATCATGATCCACAAAATTATGTGAATCATAAATAAAAAGTACATTTTTAATATATTAAAAGTATATTATTTGTGTATGTAAAGTACATTAATTGAATAGTGAAAGCATATTATTTTGTATACTATCAAATAATGTACATTCAATACACAAATATGTACCTTTAATATATTAAAAATATATTTTGTATCCATGATCCAAAAAAAAAAAAAAAAAAAAAGTCAAATGTCAGAGGCAAATTATATTGTGGATTATGGTCTACATAACCAAACAAACTACTTATTCATGTTCATTTTTAGTATACTGTATATATTAATTTATAGTGCATTACATATTCATTTTTATGACAGTAAAAATGAATTTATAATACACTAAAAATAAATTTGTATCAAAATAAAATGAATCTACTTAAAAAAAATTTGTAACACATTAAAAATAAACATTTATACTAAAAATAAACTTCCATATTAATGATCTATCTTATCATATAGCTATATGATCCATACTATAATGATCGAACGTCTGGGACTGCTCATTGTAAGGGGATTTTTCCCATCTTTTTCTCTCTTTAAGCCACTTAGCTTCTTTACCATATTTCCTTATTCTAAGTGGTTCTTTACCATATTTCCTTATTCTAAGTGGTTCATCACATTTTTCCTCATTAATGATCGTGCTTTATTAGATAAAGTTTGTACACTCACGTAAACACATGCATGGAGACTAATCAAAGACTTGTCCGGCCATGGTAATAAACTCAAATAAGAATTATACACTATAATAAAAACAGTAAATTACAAACAAATTTAACAATGAATTAAATAACTACAACTATGAATTTTAATATTTTATCAACGAATATTCGTTGGTAATTAATTAAATATCCATAAATTTCAATAATTTACCCATGGAGTTTGAGGTTCAAGCTTAAAAAGAAAAATAATTACATTTTAATTAGAAGTTGAAATTTACCCCAAAGCCTCTCTTTATTAGAGTAATTTTTTTCCTTCTTTAATAGAGTAATTTTTTATTTATTTATTTATTTTTTTTTTGAAAATGGAGAGGTCGATAACGCCCAAAAGCAACTCATTTAGCTATATATCGCTCTAGAGTTATTATTCTTTTATCACTATAGAAAACATGACTCCAAGAACCTAAATTATTTTATGGATACTTCCAAATTCAATACCCAATAATCACATAGTTAGGTAGGGTTATTACTTATTAGGAAGACTTCTGACTAATGAAGAGTGTTAATTGATACTATTCAAAAACGTAACTGACAAATTGTCTCACCGGCCTCTACATCTATATACTCATTAAAAAAAATTATTTTGAATATTCCATATCTCACATGCTTACATTCATGCATGGACCAGTCAATGAACAAAATAATACAAAATTAAATA